ACTGCCTGTTGTGTCTGTCAGCTGCTCAGCCAAGGATTTGGAGGGATTAGGAGCGTGTCTCGTTTAAACACCACAAGGGGGAAGAGAATTATTTGTTTAACTGAAGTGTTGGGTGTTACCAAGATGTTTTATTCCCAGGTTCATTCAAAACAGATGGCCAGAGCAGACAGTATTGCCCACAAGAAGCAGTATGGATCCAATTTGACCTCAGAGTGCATACGTCTGCAATTTGTATTCAGTGTGGCTCTAGAGTTTCTGTTCTGTTCATAGCTCTGCTTCTTGTTGAGAAATTCTTGTGTTCTGTTGAGGAAATATTGGGGAGGTCACTTTAGAAAGCATCAGGTAGGTGGGGACTTTTAATTGTGGTACTTTAGTATGTAATTTAAGGAGCATATTTGTCATGTTTTACATGTTTGTGATTAAATGGTGAGTTTAAGAGAAGAAAAACTTGACAATTTGGACTCGCGTTAGCATGACAGTTATGTTTATATATGGCAGAACTTCCCCCTTCCCTTACGTCAGTTGTTCTCAGTCTGAAAGCAGCAGTGTTTATTAAGTTATACTCTAATCGGTCTACTGGACTATTATACTGGAGTTATTTACTCTTACTGAAAACCAGTTGTAGAAGGACTCCTCCAATGGTTAAGAGAGGTCTTATGATTTCTGCACTAGGCTGTTCGTGGCCAGTTTTATATCCTTTTAGTCTTGTGCCAATGCTGACTTTCGGGGGTAAAAAAGTCCCCCTCTCTCTTTTGCTTACCTTTCATGTATTTGTAGGATACAGCCAATCCATTTTACAGTTATTTTGTATTACTAAGCTGCTTCAGTCAAACTCTTCTCTTGCATGAAACTTTTCTTTGCTCCCATTTTAGTCTAATAATTATTTTCTGTGCTTGTTCCAGTTCTTTTTTTTTTTTTTAAACTTGATCACAATGGCACCTTTTTTCCAGTGGGAAATTTGCTAGTGCCTTGTGCAGTGGCATTATTTTTCTCTTTTCAAAGCTGAAAGTGTTTTATTTGAGAGAGAAAAAACTGTAGGATCTTCCTTGCCTTTTTTTTCCTTGTGGCACTCTGGTTCTGATTTGTGATCTCAGTAATAATCCATGTGCTATTGCTCCTCTCTCATTGTCAACAGATGTTTTTTTTTCCACAGCTTGCAGGAATTCATAACACCTTTTCTAGACTTTATTTGCACATTCTTGTCCTTGTTATTTTAAATATCATCATGTCTCTCTTACTCCG